GATCTCACAGTTTGTGAGTTCAAGCTCTGCATCAGGTTCTGTGCTGTCAGTGCAGAGCCCACTTCAGATCCTCTGTCCCCTCTCTCTGCCCATCCCTCCAGTCACAAAAATGAGTAAACATGTTTAAAAAGATTCATAGAGGTACACTAACTTATCCTGTAGGGAGAAGAGATGAAATGATTTTCTTTTAAGTAAAGTTGACTGGTATCTCAGGACTGGTTGTCAGTCACAGATGATGAGAAAAGTTCTACAAATAGTTACTGTAACTGCCAACCCAAGAATGGTGTTCTAACATAGACTGTGGAAAAGATTCATTCATGTCTCAACATTCTTTTTAGCTTCATTTGTGTATGTGAATAATGTCATAATTATAGGTACATCATTCAATATGGATAATAAGATATAACTCTGTGGGACTGTTGTAACAAACTGTTGCACACTCTCATTTTTATTTGCTATTTTCCTTTTGTAACTAATTTTCCTGTTGAATATTCTGCATACCTCAGACATTATCATATAATGTCTGTGTTTACGTGCTACATGTTATGTGCTAATGTCTGTGGTTACATACTGCATTTTTTATTTTTATGTGAGCTTGGTGAGCTAAAGCCTAGATATTTTATTTGGGGATAACCAATGAGATGGATAGATAGATAGATATTAGTATAAATGTTGGAGATAGGATGCACAGAAATACAATCTTCAGAGCATCTTCCCCCTCAAATTTGTGGATGTAGTTAAGAAAAGAACAAAAAACAAAGGCCAGCCTTTTGACTTTGAAAAACCTGACCTCTCTGTGCCTCAGGTTCTTCCTCTATAAATTGGAGCAATTGGACTATGATACTTAATTAGTGCTGATGGTCTTTAACTCTGTGATTCTGTGAAGGTAATTGGTAAATGTACTACTGATGGGCCCAGACTGCTTCCTACATTACATCAAGAGGTTAGGGTGTTGTAATGTTGGATTTCCTGTGTTCTAATTAGTTATCTAATGTGGTGTCATGACAGAAGGCTAAATATCAATTTAGCAAAAATCAAATTTTTCTGAAATAGAATTTGGAGCCATGGTCTGATATTCCAAATGGACTATTAATATAAAATAATTTAAAATAATACTCACCCAGAACATCTATATATGAGATAAATATTCAGCTATGAGTAGCAGAAAACCCAAAACAAAAAGTGGCTTAAAACAAGATTAAATTTTATTTCTCACTCATGTAATAGTTGGCACAAGTCTGGTATGGAGCTCCATGACATCAGGGACTGCTTACCAATTGTCCCTTTTTCCTTCTTAGCACTCTACCCTCCCTCTTGGGTGTAAACCATATTCTTATTGAGCAAGATGGTGATATCCACATTACAGGAAGCAGAATGGAGAGAGGGATGAAGCAGAAAGTAGAAGGTACCTTCACTGCTCTGTTAAGCATAATTATGAGATATTTCCATGTGAATCATCACATGTGAATCCGTGAGACATATGGCCATGCATAGCTGCAAGGAAAGGTGGGAAGTATAGCCATGTGCCTCACTAAAAGTTCTACCTATAGTGGAAGAAAGGAAGAAAAGATACTGGGGGTGGGGAGTCCACTACAATCTGGTTGATGATAAATGAAAGGGAAAACTCAGGAGCATTTGCCATTGTATCTCTTCCATTAAAGAAGGAGTGTTTTCTATTTCTAGTAGGTGATACTGGTTCTCAAAATGGAAATATCATTTTATAGGTGAAGAGCTGACAATGTAATGGGAACATCTCTTAAGAATATGTGATTCTCTTTTCTGTAGCTGGGTTAATGCATAAGATCTTCCAAGAGAGAATTGCTAGGTCAATTTCCTGGTTTGAATTCATGAGTTGATATTATGATTCATGAATCAGGCTCTTGTGAGTTTAGTTAGTGTGAATTTGTCCCACTGAGCCCAGTAGCCCCCAAGAGAACTGATCAAGCAGAGAATAGACCCAACCCTAGATGTACAATGACTTTAGAGGGAACATATGCCTTGTAAGGCTTCATTTGACCTGAGCCACCCATCTTATTCTTGATCTTGAAAAGGGAGGAAAATTACAAACTTATAAATAGTCTCTAATATATCCACCTACAAAATCAAAATAATAGTGTTTTGCATGATGAAGATTAGTAGTGGTCTTGTAAAAAAATTTTTATATAGGAAAGAGCCTCTAAGGGCTAATGATATTGCAAGTCTTGACTCTTAAAAACCCATTTAGAGAAGAATTATTCACTGTTTTGGAATGATTATGACCTTTTCAGAATTTTTGAAAATACAAAATCAGCAGAACCAGACTCATCCCCAGAATATTGAAATAACATGTTTCATCTGTGCCATTATCTCAGCTGTTCCATAGTCTGCCTAAAATCCTCTTAAGGATGATGTCTTCCCGTATCTTTCTTAAAAGAACAAAGTGATCCCAGTAGACAAAGGAGAGCCTTTGAGGCTATGCATAGGACTATAATATCTATAAACCTGAGGTAATACAAGGTAAACTATCTATAAACTTAAGGTAATCATCACCAGTGTCAAAGTACCAGACAACCTGTACACTTCGCTGGCTTCGTAACTATTTGAGGTTTGCTAACTTAGTCATGAACATCTTAGATGGTGTTTTATGGCTGTAGAATTCTACAAAATTAAGATCTAAAAACTGATAGGCTTTTGATTTATACAGATCAGCCATCTATAACTGTTGTTGAAGAAATGTAGCTAAACTAATTCCCATTTCCCAGAATTCCCTATTCCAAGTCACATCAGAAAGAAGTCCACTTGTGGCCCAGGCTCAAAGATTTGGATTGGAACAGAATGGCCCAGGAAAACGTGGCCTAGACTCATATTATCCCTGACACGAGAAAATTCAGACGCTAATTCCAATGCTAACCTTGCAACAAAGAACTAGAAAAGACCCTGATAATGTTGATGAACACTCACTATATACCAGGTACACCCTCCAGAGACAGATGTGGTAACTATCCCCACTTAACATATGAGGGAATTGAGACTTGCCCACAGCCATAGTGAGGGAAATGGCTAAGGTTGAATCTGCACTTAATGCCTCTGCTATGGCATCTTCCATAGAGCTCACTTACTGCGGTGGAGCCCTCTGATTTACCCTCATTTCCTGGCTGATGAATTTCTAAACCACAGAGACATTGTTTTCTCTCATTTTAAGGCTGTACAATAACAGAATCTTCAATCAACAGAATCTTTTTCATTTGTTAACTTGTTCTTTTACTACTCTAGAAGTGCTTGTGGTTTACTTAACTTCCTTGTTTAGGTTTTAGTAAGTATAGTTTATGCCATGTAATCTTTCTTCTTCAGGGATTCTAAGCTGTACGAATGAATTCTAAAAAACCATTACCTTTTTGGTAATTGAGAATTCACCAATAAAGTTCTGGAATTAATGTGCTCAACCCAGAACTATCAAGAATAGGAGGTAACTTATAAAAGTTTATAGAGGACCTTCTTGGCACTTCCCCCAAAGTAACTTGAACAGGGTCTGTGCGCCTTCCCAGTGGTTCAGGTTTGATTTAGAGTTAGCCACAACTCAGCCACTTTTATGATACAATTTACAAAAGGTGATCCATATGTAAAGGAAATGTAGTGCCTTCTAATAACCTTTTGTATACTTGAATATAATTATTAAGTTACCTTATCTATAGACTGAACAAACTCAAGTCCTTTAATTAAAAATAATAATAATAATAACCTTTCATGACGGCTCCATTAAACAGAGTTGCATTGATTTCTGTCTGGTAACCTGTGTTTTTCCAGGGAGTTACAAGTGATTGTTCGTGTATTTTCTGTGGACAAACGTCTTAAATACAACTGACCTCTCCAGATTATCACAGCTGACTTTCTCCTTTATTTAAAGAGTGGCTCGGGGCGCCTGGGTGGCACAGTCGGTTAAGCGTCCGACTTCAGCCAGGTCACGATCTCGCACTCCGTGGGTTCGAGCCCCACGTCAGGCTCTGGGCTGATGGCTCGGAGCCTGGAGCCTGTTTCTGATTCTGTGTCTCCCTCTCTCTCTGCCCCTCCCCCGTTCATGCTCTCTCTCTCTCTCTCTCTGTCCCAAAAATAAATAAAAACGTTGAAAAAAAAATTTAAAAAAATAAAATAAAATAAAGAGTGGCTCTTTTTCTGTCTTTCAGGCCACTCTGGCTCTTTGTTCAGGATGTCTTCTTGGTTATCACATATACCCAGCAATTCCCAAGTGATGTTTTCAATAGTCAGTGCTGTTTCCAGAAATGCCATGACATTTTCAGAATCAGAATAAAATAAACTTTAATTAATTTTAATTTAAAAGACACAGTTCTTTGTCACAGATTGGAGAAAAATAAAGGGACATAATTAAATGGGATGTGAGATCTTGGAGTAGATCCTAGAAAAGAAAAAAAATCAATAGAAAAACTGGTGAAATTTGAATGAAGTCAGCAGTACAGTAGTGTTACACCAGTCTTGATTTCCTGTCTTGGTGGTTGTGTAAGATTTTAACGTTAGGGGAAGCTAGGTGAATTTTATGGTAACTTGTGCAGCTTCTCTGAAAATCTAAAATTATTTCAAAATTAAAAGTTTAAATATACATGTATATTCACAGCTCCAAATTGTTTGGTAATTATAGTGTTGGCCTTTCTTGAGTCTCTCTCTAAGGCAACAACAATGAACCAGGATGCATCAGCATACTCACTGCTCACAGGAATCCCAGAAATCATTTGTACATCCATTGAAACACTAACAGTAGGATGCAACAGTAGGATGCAGTAGGATCTTATGGGAAGAAGAAAGGATTTGGATTCAGATGTGAGTTTCAGTCCCTCTTCCACCATTCACTACTGTTTTCAGTAGGGCAGCTACCTTGACCTTTGTTAGTCTCAATTCCTTCATCTGAATACAAAGTATAATACCCATCCCACAGTGATTTTAAGAATTAAATGAGATTAATATATGTGAATGCTAGTTATAAACTCTAAAACACTATGCAAAATGTTCACTTTGGTTCATATTCTAAAGAATTGTTTGAAGAAAAAAGATTCTCCAGTTTCAGAGATTTTTAAGGTTATTTTTTTCCCTAGATTAATTGTATTGTAGCATTGAGTGCAATCAGAATCCATAGGTGATATATTTATAATTGTGTTTACATTATTTTGAGTCTTTTATCATTAACAGTCAGTTTGAACTTGAACCAATATGACTAAGAACCACAAAGCAGTAAGCTGAATATTGTATAGTATACTTAACATAGAGATTTTACATGAACATTATTTTTACTTATTTAAGCCAATGTCTAGCCCTTTTGCTTTAGAAGTCATAACACTAAGAAGAGAATTTCAAATGTGAAAGCTCCAAATTTGTTAGTTTTCCTGAAATTTAAAGTGAAAGTCATCAGTGGAAGCTGTGGATCTACTTTCAAGAAAGACCCTAGAAAGGTACAATGTCCAGTCTACCAATTATATGAGGCTTATGTACAAACTTGTAGTTTGTTTCCAAAAGTAAGTTATTCTATAACAAATTGGGAAAAAAAAAAAAAAAGCTCAGCCAATATATTTAAGTAGTGCTGAGGTGTCTGTGGCGAAATTTAATTTTTTTAAATTTTACATCTAAGGGTTATAAAGTTGATTCTAAATCCATATTTCAGGTGGTTTAATGCTCTGATTCAGTACCTGGTGAAGGACTGCTGTCTGGTTTCAATCAGATGTTAATTATTCTTCTTGCTTTGTCTACTGATTTTTAGCTGTTTCATTAAAGCAGCCTCATGTAGATCAATCAGGCTCTTTTTCAAAAATCCCAATCTGAAGCCAAGACCAGGGGTGCCTGGGTGGCTTAGTAGATTAAACATCCAACTTCCGCTCAAGTCATGATCTCACAGTGTAAATTCTAGCCCCTCACTGGGCTCTGTGCTGACAGCTCAGAATTTGGAGCCTGCTTTGGATTCTGTGTCTCCCTCTCTCTCTGCCCCTCCCTTGCTTGTGCTCTGTCTCTCTCTCTCCCTCTCAAAAATGAGTAAACATTAAAAAAAATTTTTTTTAATTTAAAGCCAAGACCAAAAGGTCAAAGAAATAGAAGATCTCGTGAAGTCAGAGCTGCTCATCAGTAGTCCTCAATTGCTTATCTTTTTTTTTTGGAGTATCTAGTTTTAGTGAACCACAAATTAAACAAAATGTCTCTCAAGACAGGGCAGAAACACATAATTTTAAACTTTGTATTAGTATCAATATATTGGTACATTCTAAAAATGCTGATCTGCAGCAGATTCTTTTTTTTTTCAATTGCTTATCTTTGAAGAAGAGAAACATTAAAAAGATTGTTACCGAGTTGGTAAAATGAAAAAATAAAATCTGTTATCCTCAAGCAATGCACTTTCCAATTTAGTAAAAAAGTAGTTTATTAAGAATAGATGGAAACTTCCTTAATATATGGTATGTATATGTGTGCCTGTGTCTGTGTCTCAGTGCTATACACATCCTATTTATTTATTTATTTATTTATTTTTTAATGTTTATTTTTGAGACAATGCGAGAGACAGAGTGCAAGCAGTGGAGGGGCAGAGCAGACAGAGGGAGACACAGAATCCAAAGCAGGCTCCAGGCTCTGAGCTGTCAGCCCAGAGCCAGACGCGGGGCTCAAACTCACGTACTGTGAGATCATGACCTGGGCCAAGGTCGGATGCTCAACCTACTGAGACACTCAGATGCCCCTACACATCTTATTTATTGATAAAACAACAATCTCATAAGATTATGAGGAAAACAATTTCCATTGTATTTTTAACATTGTTCTAGAAATATTAGATAATTGAGAGAAGAAACAATTTATATAATTTGTAAAAGAGGAATTAAAATCATTAGATAATTATCCTAAGCAAATGTTGATTTAAGATGGATAGCCACAGGATATTTATGAAATATCTAATAATCCCTATGGAAAATTTTCCTCACCAAATCTGTCCCAAAAAGGCCAGGGTTTTCAACCAAGTCTTTTAAATGATAATCAAATTTGAAAAATCCTTACAAATCTTTACAAACAACACAGGGAACCTTTTTCTATTTACATTTACAGTTAAATTTCTGTTGTAGCCTCCTTAGTAAGTAATGTATGCACATATTATAAGATATAAAAGGTATTCTATTTATTTATTTTTTAATGTTTATTTAGTTTTGAGAAAGAGAAAGAGAGCATAGGCAGGGGAGGGGGCAGAGAGAGTCCAACGTGGAGCTCGAACTCGTGAACCACAAGATCATGACCAGAGCCAAAGTTGGAGGCTTAACCAACTGAACCACCCAGGTTCAGTATTTTAAACAGATATTTGATGAAAAGTCAGTCTTCCTCCAGCCCTGTCAGAAACAGTCACTGGTACCAGTTTTTTATATATCCTTTAAGAGATGTTTTAGGCATATGCAAAGTTAGTTTCTCTCTTAATCTTTTTACATTTATGGTAATGTGCCACATAAACAGTTCTGTACCTTGTTTTTATTTTGTTAGTAATATTATCATGCAAACTGTGCCAAATCAGCACAAAATACATTTTTAATCACCCAGTGCTCATCATTATAGGTGCACTCTTTAATCCCCATCACGTATTTTACCCGTCCCCCGCCCCCCCACCTCTCCTCTGGTAGCCATCAGTTTGTTCTCTATAGTTAAGAGTCTGTTTCTAGGTTTGTCTCTCTCTTTTTCCCCATTGCTCATTTGTTTCTTAACTTCCACATATGAGTGAAATCGTATGGTATTTATCTTTTTCTGACTGACTTATTTTGTTTAGCATTACATTCTTTAGCTCCATCCATCCATGTTGTTGCAAATGGCAAGGTTTCATTCTTTTTATGGATGAGTAGTATTCCACTGTATATATATATATATACACCACATCTTCTTTATCCATTCATCAATCAGTGAACTCTTGGACTGTTTCCATATTTTGGCTGTTGTAAATAATGGGGCAGGGGCACCTGGGTGGCTCAGTCGGTTGGGCATCCGACTTCAGCTCACGTCATGATCTTACAGTCTGTGAGTTTGAGCCCCGCGTCAGGCTCTGTGCTAACAGCTCAGAGCCTGGAGCCTGCTTTGGATTCTGTGTCTCCTTCTCTCTCAGCTCCTCCCCTGCTCATGCTCTGTCTCTCTCTGTCTCAAAAATAAATAAAAACATTTAAAAAAATTTTTAATAAAAAAATAAAAAATAATGGGGCAATAAATATGGGGGTGCATGTATCCCTTTGAATTAGTGTTTTTGTATCCTTTGGGTAATACCCAGTAGTGCAATCGCTGGATCGTAGGGTAGTTCTATTTTTAACTTATTGAGTAACCTCCATACTGGTTTCCAGAGTGGCTGCCCAGTTTTCATTCCCACCACCAGTGCAAGAGGATTCCTTTTTCTCCACATCCTCCCAACACCTTTGTTTTCTTGTGTTGATTTTAGTCATTCTGACCAGTGTGAGGTGATATCTCATTGTAGTTTTGATTTGCATTTCCCTGATGATAAGTGATGGTAAAGCATCTTTTCATATGTCTGTTGGCCATCTGTATGTCTTTTGGTTAATTTTTTGTTTCGTTTTTTATGTCTTTTTTGGAGAAATATCTTCATGTCTTCTGCCCATTTCCTAATTAGATTATTTGTTTTTCAGTGTTGAGTTTTATAAGTTCTTTATGTATTTTTGATACTAGCCCTTTATTGAATATATCATTTGCAAATATCATCTCCCATTCTGTAGGTTGTCTTTTAGTTTTGTTGATTATTTCCTTTGATGTGCAGAAGCTTTTTACTTTGATGTAGTCCCAATAGCTTATTTTTGCTTTTGTTTCCTTTCCCTCAGGAGACAGCTCTAGAAAAAAGTTGCTACAGCCAATGTCAAAGAGGTTACTGCCTGTGTTCGCTTCTAGGATTTTTATGGTTTCAGATCTCACAGTTAGGTCTTTAATCCATTTTTAATTTATTTTTGTGTATGGGATAAGAAAGTGGTCCAGTTTCATTCTTTTACAAGTTGTTGTTCAGTTTTCCAAACGCCATTTGTTGAGGAGACTTTTTTCCATTGGATACTTTTTCCTGCTTTGTCAAAGATTAATTGACCATAGAATTGTGGCTTTATTTCTGGGTTTTCCATTCTGTTCCATTGGCCATGTGTCTGTTTTTGTGCCAGTACTATATGGTTTCGATTTCTACAGCTTTGTAATATAACTTGAAGTCTGAAATTGTGATGCCTCCAGCTCTGCTTTTCTTTTCCTAGGTTGTTTTGGCTATTCGGGGTCTTTTGTAGTTCCATACAAATTTTAGGATTGTTTGTTCTAGTTCTGTGTGAAAAAATGCTGTTGATATTTTGATAGGGATTGCATTAAATGTGTAGGTTGCTTTGGATAGTATGGACATTTTATCAATATTTTTTCTTCCAATCCATGAGCATGGAATGTCTTTCCATTTCTTTATGTTGTCTTCACTTTCTTTCATCAGTGTTTTATAGTTTTCAGAGTACAGGTCTTTCACCTCTTTGGTTAGGTTTATTCCTAGGTATCTTATTTACAACATTTTTTAACAACTGCAAAATTAGTTTATGGTGATAAACTGTAACCAGTTACATATTTAGGTTGCTTCCAACCTTTTGCTATTACAAGCAGGACTGCAAAGAAGAGCCTGGTATATATGTGTTTTTGAGTAGACATGTAAGCACATTTGAAAGTTAAATTCCTAAATGTGGAATTGCTGGGTCAATGGGTAAATCCATGCATAATTTTGTCAAGTTGTTCTCATGGAGTCTGACAGTTTTACTAATTGGCAATGTCACTAATGTGTGAGTGCTTACTAATGGGTAATATCAACTACTGGATAATATCAACTTTATAATATATTAGATTCCTATATGAATTTAGACTGCTCTCCAGCTTTCTCGTATCCACCAGGGTAGGCTAGGTTAAACCGCCATGACAAACAACCTCAAACTCTTAGTGGTTTATAATAAGAAATTTCTTTCCTTTTGGTACATGTCCATCAAGGGTCGCTGGAGGCTCAGCACCATGACTTTCACTCAGTAACTTAGGCCAACAGGGTTGCCACCATCTTGAACATTGCTCTTTGTCCTGGCTAAAGGGAAGAGGGCCCTGGAGAGTCTCACACCATCAGTATAGTCATACATGTGCCCAGAAGATGGAAAACTGGAGATATTTGGTAAACTGCAGCTATGATTAATTATCACATCTCTATTCTGTCCTGTAATCTGTCAGTTCATGTGGTAGTAACACAAGTTTTTCTTTTTTGGAATATGTCTGCTATTTTCCCATTTTCATTTTTCCTGTTGAACTAGAACTAGCTTCTCTAACTACCCTCCAGCCTCCAGAAAAAAAGCCAAATTATGGCAGTATTTTTCATTTTGTCTGCATTAAATTTATAGATTTAAAGAAAATTGATAATCTTTATAATATTGAGTTTCCACAACCAAGAAGCAGATATATATTTTCAGTTATTTACATCTTCTTTTGTATCTTTCATATTTTCTTAATATGTATTGTGTATATTTATTAGTAAGTATTCTTTTTTATTTTACTGTCATCTGCAAATAATCATTTAAATTCCTTCTGTATAATCAAGTTGGTTTTCTTGAAGGAATAGAAAAGATAACCATTTCTCAAATAACATATCCATAACATAATCAAAAAAAATTTTTTTTAAGTTCATACTGAAGATTTTTCTTTTCATGATCCATCTTTTTAATAATTCTAGTAAATAAGTAGATTAGCATTACACCAACAATAATACATTTACTCCAGCAACTAGAAGCACTTACCAATTTTTAAGAATTATATTTGTTTTGTGCTCGGCAGGTGTCTATTATGCCCACCTGTACAAGAACCCAGGAGATGATGAGCCATTAATGTAGAATAAGATCTGGCTCTAAAGAAAGAGGCTCACTGGCCCATTCATCAAACTTGAGAGATGTTGAAAATTAAACATCCCCAGGTAATTAGAGTATAGTTTTGAGTGACACAGGCATTGCTCTCCTGTTACATTTTTATTTCTTTTGTTGTGAGAAAAAACATTTGTGGGGGGAATCAGCTTATTTCTAAAAGTAAGCAGGTATTATATTACATTTAGGGTTTGTTTTCATGCTAAGAATGAGAACTGCTCATTACATCTCACTTCTTTGTACTGCCTTTGTAATTATGATGTAAAGTTCAACCTGAGAGTATTTTCCTTCTTTACAGCTTCTCATTTTGTACTCCTATCTCAGCATTATTCTGCTCTTTTTCCTACAATCCATACTTTTAAGAGTTCCGTCCTTAATCACAAGACTGAATCACAAGACTGAATTAAATAGAAGTTGGTCATTAAGTGCTGATAAGCGGATTATTTGTGAAATTATATTGTATGTATGGTTGTGCTTAGGACAGAGGTCAGAAAGGAATACAAGACATCAAATTTGAATACCTCACCATCATCAAAGTGAAGTCTCATAAAAATCTGATGGAATGATTTAAACTGAAAATAGAGACTTTACACAAAAATGGAGAGAAAGTCTTTATGGAGCCAACACAGAATAATTACTGGGAATATGACAGAGTAAAAAGAGACCCACCAAAATAACAAACATCTGAAATATAAAATGTATAAGAAGACAGAGTTCAGTTGTGGCGAGCAAAGGTAGCACCACAGCCTTAATTTTAGAACTTGGGCAATACCAACAAAGAGAAAAGCTGTGTACAAAACCAGAGAAAACAATGGTAATAGAAGAAGCAGGAAAAAAAAAAAAAACTGAAATGTAGAAGGAATGGAATTGTCAATAATAGGACTGAAAAGAGTAAAAGACACAAAGACTATTAAAAAGAACTAGTTAGAATTAAAAAAAAAAACCACCTTGAAGCACCGTGGTAAAAATATTTTTTAAAAAAATGTACATCCCTTAAGGGGAAAAAAATGTTATCAGGATAGTGGAGTGGTCAGGGCACCTAGTGGCTCAGTGGATTGAGCGGGTTGAGCATCTGATTCAGCTCAGGTCTTGATCTCACAGTTGGGGAGTTCGAGCCCTGCATCAGGCTCTGTGCTGACGGCTCAGAGCCTGAAGCCTACTTCGGATTCTGTGTCCCCCTCTCTCTGCCCTCCCCCCGCTTGCACTCTGTCTCTCTTTCTCTCTCTCTCTCAAAAACAAATATTAAAAAAATTTTTTTAAAGAATAGTGGAGTGGTCAATAAAATTAAGACCAAATGGAAAGATTCAGGTTAAAATTCATGGAATAGACAAATAGGTTATAACAAATCCTGTATACCTAGTTTTTTGCTCCTGCAAGTCTCCTCCAAATAATGGGGGGGGGGGGGGAGTGTTACAAATAGGAAGAAGTTTCAGTAAAGGAAAAACTGAAGTTATTGTAGAGAAAAACAAACCTTTGCCTACAGGTTGAGAGTTTGGCATGTACTTATTTTCCAGATTTGACACTTAAAGACAATATACTCACATACCTACTTACCAGTTTAACACTGGAAATAACTATCCTCTGGAGGATGAAAGATAAAAATGACCTTAGACTTGTAACTCAGATAACACAAGATGCATTTAGAGAAATATTTACAGAATACCAACCAATTATCTTGTCTAGTTGTCTGCCTTTTGAAGATGAAAGATTTTTGAGCCCTGATATCTTAGAATCTCCAATAGCCCAGTACCAGAGGAGATTATAAAAGACTGGGAATGCAGAGGAAATTTCTGAAAGTGATAGACTGGAGCACTTTGAAGGAAGTGAGTTGGTGGTACCATCTAAGAGGAGCAGCTTAGGTACTCAGGCACAAAGCACCTCAGGGCATGACCTCTACCTGAGGTTCTGCATTCTGGGGTTTGGGCCTCTGCACATATGGAAATGCAACCTTAACCTATACTCAAGGATAACCAGGGCCTAGGAAAATCTTGTTGACCAAAGCTCAGAAGACTGTCAATTTACAGACTTATCATGAGAAATAGAATTTTCAGGTGAACCAGGGGCACCTGGGTGGCTCAGTTGGTTAAGCATCCAACTCTTGGTTTCAGCTCAGGTCATGATCTCACAGTTTGAGCCCCATATCCAGCTCTGTGCTGACAGCGTCGAGTGCTTGGGATTCTCTCTCTACCCCACTCTCTCTGACCCTCCCTCTCTTGTTCTTTCTGTCTCTCTCAATAAATGAATAAACTTAAAAAGTTTTTTGTTAAAAAAAACGAATTTTCAGGTGAACTCAAGTGTTGACTAGGCATGAGTAAAACTTTTGTACTTTCTCTTATGTAAGTCACATGGGGGAAAGGGAATTAAAATTACTGTATAACTTTGGTACATTAGAATAGATTTAGATTTACACTCAAGGAGTGTAAGTGATTTTAAGCAGTGTTTCTCTGCTAAACTTGGAAGTAGTCTAACGTGGTATAGGGATGCTTTCTGGGGGACCTAAATGCTTGACATTCACTGGTGCACTGTAGATATGGCAGGAAATGTATGCTTAATTCTGTACATATACTTTATGCTTCTATACAAATGGACTTCTAATACCTGCTCCCTTTAAATCCTTTAATACCAGGGAAGCCTGGGTGGCTCATTCGGTTAAGCGTCCGACTTCGGCTGAGGTCATGATCTCACCATTTGTGAGTTCGAGCTCTGCGCCGAGCTCTGTGCTGTCAGCTCAGAGGGAGCCTGCTTCAGATTCTGTCTCCCCCTCTCTCTCTGCCCCTCCCCCACTTACACTCTGTGCTCCTCTCTCTCTCAAAAGTAAACATTAAATCTTTTAATACCGTTGGCTCTACCAGCTTTTATAGACATAGACAAATACTAGTCAGATACATCACTGGATTTTTTCTTTTACTTTAAATACAAAAAATTTAAAAGATGCAGAAAATTCTATAATGAAGACTCTGTCCTCCTAGATACCTCATCCCCTCACCAAAAGCAGCTCATGTTATCAATTTCTTAGGCATCCTTCCAGAGATGCACACATGCAATCAAATTCCTGTATTCTTTAGTAGTGAAATATACCAAATCCAACTCATAATAGATGTGTTGTGGTTTTATTGGCCTCTGACAAAGCAGAGAACAGTCAGCTTGGACTGAGCTGCAGAGGCTCCACATCTGCTCCTGACTATTAATAGAGACATAGAACCTGCCATCTAATTCTTTTAGGCTCAAGTTATTGCAGTAGAGCCAGGTCCTGGCCAGCCTAGTAAGGCTACACTGTGGCTCATCAGCTGAACCTCAGTCACAGGTCTGAGAGAATAATCTCTTCTGCAGTTGTTTTCCTATGCTCTAGCTAAACAAACAAGGATGTATCTTGGTTTTCTTATATTTGTAATTCATTCCTGAGACCATCTTTGGTTATGCTTAGAAGACAAAAAGATTGCATCTTCTAAAGCACATACTGTTTGGGCACTGTCCCATTTGGGCAGGGTCTTGAAAGACAACTTGTAAATTTTCTATTTTATTGTCAGAACAATGAGCCAGAGATCACCTAGTTCAGAGTAAAGTTATATTTGGTGAAAATATATTTATAACAATTATTTTAGGTGATATATAAGTAAAAAGCCTGATTGAAAGTCACTATGTTCGGGGCGCCTGGGTGGCGCAGTCGGTTAAGCGTCCGACTTCAGCCAGGTCACGATCTCGCGGTCTGTGAGTTCGAGCCCCGCGTCGGGCTCTGGGCTGATGGCTCAGAGCCTGGAGCCTGTTTCCGATTCTGTGTCTCCCTCTCTCTCTGCCTCTCGCCCGTTCATGCTCTGTCTCTCTCTGTCCCAAAAATAAATAAACGTTGAAAAAAAAAAATTTTTTTTTAAATAAAAAAAAAAGAAAGTCACTATGTTCATTTGCCTTGGTGTATGTTTTGTAGCTAGTTGTTCTTGGGGTCTCACTGCTCAGAGCTGTGAGTGCTTTATTAAGATTTATTTTTATGTAGGCATTTAGTCACACCTACCCTAAAAAATTTTTCCATGTTAGGCTCCAAAGTAAATCTACAAAAAGCAGTAGCTTTTCTCTATGCCAGGAATAACCAGCTTAGAAAACATAATGGAAGAAAAGATCCCATTCATAATAACAGCAAAAGTACATGTAATAACTAGGAATAAACTAAAGGAAAGTATAAAACCTGTATGAATATAGCTATAAAGTCTACTGAAAGGCATAAAATGAAACTAGAATAAATGAAAAATAAGTTCCCTGAAGTAAATTTAATAAATTTACTATACTATACTATACTATACTATAAATTTAATATACTTTCAGTCAACTTCCCAACAGGATATCTTTTGTTTATCTGAAAAAAAAAATGGTATAAGAAAGCCTTGAGGAGTACCTGGGTGGCCCAGTCGTTGAGCATCCAACTCTTGGTATCAGCTCGGGTCGTGATCCTAGGGTCATGGGATAGGGCCCCATGTTGGGCTCCGTACTCTGAATATGGAACCTGCTTAGGATTCTCTGTCTTCCTCAGCCCCTCTCTCATATGCATGCACGTGCTCTCTCAAATAATAATAATAATAATAATAATAATAATACATAAAGACTTACTGAAAATATTAAAAAAGAAGAGTAATAATGGAAATATTGCCCTATCATGTATTAATTATTGGTATGATAAAGCTATATTAAAACAAAACATTGCATGCTGGTGCAGGCCATTATCATAGATAGAAAAAAGTGAAGGGACTGCAGAATCCAGGAACAGACCCAGACATATGTAAAAAGTGACTCTGAAAAAGGTAGAATTTTAAGACAGTGGAGAAAGAGCTTTACAAATGCTTTTGCAATAGATGACTAACCATTTGGAAAAACAATTTTAGGCCTTTTTTCCACGCAATAGTTTCTAGATGGGTTAAATACCATGTAGGTATTAAGAAAGAATATAGGTGAGAATTTCTATTATCTGATGTGGGAAAATCAAAGATAGAAATCATAAGGGAAAGGCAACAAACTTGGTGGCAATAGGGCCAGGCAGAAAATTGAATCACTCAAGTACACTTGGGTA